GAATTTTGACATATATGCAAACATTTGTTCAGCAACTTGTGTATTAATTGAGTTATAGATGTCTTTATGAGATGGATCATCAGGTCTCATAACTGTTTTACACATATGTCTTTTATGGTTTTTCACATGGAATCGATCAATTGCCATGGTTAGTGATGTTAAAAATTCTGTGAATGCTGTTGACTTCAAATCATCTGAACCAAAGTGTTTCTTCACGAATAGTTTCAATGTACAAGCACAATCGTAACACATAGCTGTTGGTAATGGACCATATCGTAATATTGTTAAAATATGATGCAAAACACGTCTCACTATTATCAATTCAAAAGAAAAACATGTGTTATACTTCATTCTGATTAATATGAAACTTTCATAATTACTTCCTTCAGAACATGGTTGTTCTGTAAATCCAACTATAACTGAACAGTTCAAGAACGTGGCTAAAAAACCATAAGAACTTATCTTTGATTTGTTATTTATTCCCGATCTAAATATGTTGCACAAAGAATCATCATAACGACCATCTTTATCAATATATTCAATTAATGCTTGCTTATCTAAGCTTATTTCTTTATGATCCTGGTCTATAAGATGCACTGTAGCTGATGATACCATAGACGGTTGATGATGTTGACAAAATCTGTGATCGACATTAGATGCTATAACAGCAGAATGTGATAATGATTAATTAATAATAGAGAAACAGTAATGATATGCAATCTGTCTGAAAACACGATAAATGTCCGTTAGCATCACCAGATTCCACTCTATTCGCACAAAATCTCTCAATTTTCCATTCTCCTTAACGTGACCTATGTGCGGTTCGATGTTTTCCGATATATATGTCTCTCTTTCTCCCTCCCTCTCTCTTATACATATATATATGTATGTATTGAATGTTTTCAGTTACTTCTATTATTGTTATTTATACTCCAAAGATATAAATTTACAGCCAAACTTATATCCAGAAGAAAATAATAATACCATGAGAAAAATAAAATAATACAAAGCAAGACAACATATCGATATCCTAAGAAAAGAGTGATTAACCGACAATTAGTCTTCTCGCCCTCTCTTTTTACTTTTACATTAGACTCTAAGATTGTGTTACAACACTAGATTTTCATTTTATTTAATGTAAAAATTTTACCTCACCTCTTATAGCAGAAAATATTTACAAGTGTACTTCTTCAACAACTATTTCAATCTCCACTGACACATACATGCCCATTTGACAGGTTAGTGAAAGCAAATTTACCTTTTCTTAAAGGAGAATATAAACACCCCATTTGAACCAGTCCAAATTCAGGTATTGTATCGTCAAACACATTCTTATATTGGCAGATTAAACGATTTGCTTTCTGGTGTCCATCAACAACAAAGACTCTTGAGCATGTGATTGGACCACATCTTTTTGTAAATCGTTGATGTTGTGTCCAAAAACCAACGAAATGTTTATAAAGATCCAATTTTACTGCTAAAAAGTAATCATTACATTCCTGTGCATCTCGTACAGATATTGGTACAGCTACAACATTTTGCTTTGTTGTCATGAAAGTGAACTTCGCTATATTAATAATTAACCAAGTCATCTGGAAAAGTTTTTCGTCTAAAAGAGTTCTAAGAAAATATCAGTGATACATTTTGAAAAGGTGCAATATGAATGACTTATCTTACGTGCCACAATTAATACTTGTTGTATTTGTAAGTTGTTTATCTTCTCTTTCTCTAACTACTGCTATTTTTGAATTATAGGCACTTGTATATCCGTCAAATGACATAGTATTTTTGACCAGATGGTGGTCAAAATCAAGTAATAAGTTTTGATCAAATATTTGATTTCCATTTAAGTAAATAAATCAATCATTTTTAATTGATTCATTTGTGATGAATTTCATTTTATTTCTTGTGTAAAAATTAGGAAAAATTTCCACATCACAAACATCACAAAAACAAGTGGCAATAACTATAAAGAAAATAGAAATTCAACCATTCTCGACTAGCACGGAATTATAGCATACGTGCTTTATAATTACGTGTTAATGACAAAACCGTCTTTGAACGATGAGAAAAAACTAATTTCAGTTGTTTCCTACATGCGATACATTCATTCGTATATGGTTTCAGATATACTTCACATGCACCATTGGATTCAGTAACTTTATCGTTCTGATACTTTTGAATCATTTCATGAACTGATTGTTGTTGAAACATATGGTTGTATGTTGGATTGATAGAGATGAATTCAATCATTGATCTTATCACGTGAATTTCATACGACTTCTGATAATATAAGTTAATTATGTTCATAATATGATCATATCTGTTTTGCAGTTCCTTTGGAAAAATATTGTTCAACATCATCATATAAAATATTTCATTTAAACCCATCGAACGTGTCATTAAAATTAAAGTATGTTCTGCATCACTAAGTTCCACCGATGTTAGTGATGACGAAGAATTGTTATAATGATTCATTTGGTTCAATATCTGAAAAGACGAGTAAAATATGTTTAAAAAAAAATCTTATTTTCAAATACTGATTTCTAATACAACTTCCTTCTTTCGTTTTAGTGATAAAAAGCCGTTAAAAAATGTATGTAAAAAGGGTAAGTAAAAAACGTTTAAACTTGAACTATATAAAGAAGGTAGAATTCAATAAGAAAATTGTGTTATTTCTGTCAAATTAAACTAGAATCGATGTAAAACCAATTAGTTTCTTCTTAATTTTCTAGTCTGTGTTCGTGTTTGCGGGTGTTCACCATAATTTTCATCAGTTTCGGCTTTTCTTTTTCTACGAGCAGGTTGTGATCGAGTATGTACTACTTCTTCTTCCTCATCATGTGGCATTTGTTTTTCAATATTTTGTGTATTGTTATTTGTTGTCTTTTTTTCATAATTTTTCAGATGTGGAGATTGTGGAATTGATGTTGATGCTTCACCTTCGACGTTTATCTCATCAACTGTCATATCAAATGGTCGAAATTGTTTTTCATTCCATCGTACATGTTCTTTATAAAAGAAATTTGATTCCATCTTTTCAATAAACTCGTCTGACAAAGTCTAATTATTAACTGTGAAAACGTTTTCTTGCTGTTGAGGATAAAAGCATTTGAGATAATCTTCATACGTAAGATTAATCTGCAAAATTAAGGTGAATATTATTATCAAATACAGACAGTCTGAAAATGGAAAACATGCTTATTAACCTCTTTTTGTAATAATTGGATGAATTCAAGTTTAGCTGCATCTGTATTGGACAATGGAACACTTCTATTTAAAAAAATGTCTACGGTAAATAGTCAAGATTTTTACAAAATATTTTACTTGATCCATCCTTCTCTCAGTATACGTTTAGCGTTTTTCTTTGGCTCTTTTTTTGAACGACTTGGCTCTATCCAGAAATTATCTCCATGCGTAAGTAGCTTTGAATTAACTAAGCGTTCTACTGCATCTAGTCTGATGTTTGATTTGTTACAAATTTGAGTAAAATCAGTTTTTGTATATATGACAGATTTCCAAGTCATTATATTTTTCATAGCTTTTTTCACCGCAAGCCCATGTCTACCTTCACAAATATTTGTTGCTAAACACAATAAAAAAGAGACGATCTTTCATATTAAAACAAAGGTAAAAGACAAACTTTCTCTAACTATTGGTTGTACAAGTATATGTGAACTATTATGTTCAACATTATCAATTTGTTCACACGACATTGCTGAAAAATTATGAATAGTTTCGAAAGAATTATTATGTTCAGGTGGAGATTTTTCTAATGTAAACAATAAAACAACGTAATAAAATTGGTATATTAAATATTAGTGCTTACGAGTTATGTTTATATCTTGTTGATTACTCAATACTTCAATGCAACAATGATGCTGTGTCACGGAACTCTCTTCAACGATATCCGTGAATGTGTTAACTTTAACTGGTGTTGTAGTTTGACTTGTTACTTTGGATGCTGGTGCATGAAAGATCATTGTAGTTGGTTGATCTCGATTATTTGTTTGTTCTATACATGTACCTACAACCCAATTTTCAATATCATGAAACTGAACAGTAAATGCATCCTGATTTTGGATGATAAAACTCCCAGTATCGGTTTGACGAATAATTGAATTAGCAACATGTTTTTGTATTATATTGTTCAATACACCTCGATACTTTGCATATTGATTAACTAAACAAGAACTACTTGCAAAGATATTTAATGCCAATTTGGAAAGATTATTATTCAATGGAATGGAACATTTTTCATATATTGCACAATATTCATCAATGTTTATGTCGTGTTTTAACATCTTAGCAACAAATTCTTCTCGTGTTGGATCATTCACCGATGGTGGTGGTATTTTCATATAAGCTTTTACGTTGTATCCTCGAGCATTGGTCAAAAAGTAATTATATTTCAATAAATTATCTTGCATTAGCTCGTTAATTGCACGTTCTCCCAAAGCTGGCCTATTTTTTATTATTCCACTAAACAAAGAAACGTTAATGATATTAATTAATCATTTCAAATCAAGAATTTTTTGACATACGTTTCGCCGGTGACAGGGTGCTTTACACTTATTGCTGATATCGGAAAAATGTTAAAGCCCAAGTACATGATCGATTGTTTGAGTGATTTTTGTCGAGTTAAAACGGAAGATGGTAATAGCATCGACTTAGTTGGAAAAGTGTGATCAATCGTGAATAATTTGGTAACAATTCGGAGATAATATTCAAACAATTCCCATCCAATTAATACTGCATCTTTGCTAACAATAATCATTGGATCTGTTACTTCTTTATCACTTTCCATGCTTGTCAGGTAAGTTTTATCATACTTATAGTAATCCTTTTTAATAATAGCTTCTACATTTCTTATAAAATTTTCATTAATGAAGGAATTCGGATTGTCACCTTCACTAAAAACGACAAAATCTTTCATCTGTTCAAGTATTTGCATACAATTTAAAAATAATTGAACTAAACAAGCCAAACGAGGAACTATTGTTCCCGCTTTGGCATAGAAGTCCATGATTTGCTGTTGTTGATTTTCTTTCAAATTCTGAGTGTCAACTAAATCAGCAATGAGATTCCAGAGAGTAAACATAGCGGAACTAGGTGGTTGCGTTTGGTCTTCATTATTTTGTGATGATGGTAATTGATCAGATGTTACTATGAAAATGAAATTAAAATCGAACAGTGACTTATCAATTTAATGGCTCTTTTACCACCGAAAAACTTCATTCGTTCCACTTCCGACATCTCGAAGACATATCTAACCGAACCAAAAAGATGCGAGATCACACATAAATGAGTAAAAGATGGACTCTTTTTTAGATCATTATTGATGTGAAAACTAAAAATAAAAAACCACAAATCAATTTATGTTTGATCATATGGTTGTATTTTTACTGTTGAGGTCTGGAGCAGAAGAGCTTAGGTATGCACATATAGAGAAACCTGTTATGAGATCCATCAAAACCGGTGCAATTTAACCAATTCTTCATATTTCTCATTAATTTACCACCTGTTGTGGCAATAAGGATTGTTAATCGTTTATCTTCAATTTGAATCATTGTTGTCCCAGTTGTTCTGGATGAGTTATTAAATCTAACAATACAAATTATGCAATCAATATGTGCAAGGTCATTATTCATATTACCCGTCATATCCGACCAATATTAAGTTTCTCTCATGCTCCTTAGTACAATCATTCACATTGTAGAGTCCGTATTGCTCGGCGACAAGATCAGCGTCGTCATTCAACAATATCTTATTATTAGATGACAAATGATGACGTAGCCCAATATGATTAGTGTGTGTTATGATTGATGAAATATTTGTTTCTGTTGGTTTACCATTTACAACAATTGGCTTTAAATATATAAGTGGAAAAAGCTTTTCCGTATTACTGATTGCTTTATTCACTTGCTTAAATGCATTAGTTTTACCACTTCCTACA